AAGTCATCCTGCCAGAAACTGTCTTCAGTTTCTGTCACAGAGCCTGATACCTCCCCATTAACTTCCCCTTTCAGAAAGTACCTGCTTAAATACAGCTGTTATCTGGGAGGTGTTCTGAGTCTTCATTGCGCTGAAGTTGGAGAACCGTGGTTATAGACACCAGCAAACACATTAGAAGCCTCAGCTCTGACACAGACAAGCTACTCCATGTCTTCAAATCATGGTTCTTAAAAGGCAACACACATTGGAATCACCCAGAAACTTGTTAAAACACAGCGGGCCAGGCCCAACCCTGCATTTCTGATTCAGCAGGTCTGAGACAGGACCTGAGAATTTGCATCTCTCACAAGTTCCCAGGGGAGGTTGATGCTGCTGGTCCAGGACCCACTTTGAGAACCACTGAACTGGTTGATTTCTAAGGAATCTTTATAAGACATATAGGCAAAGTGTGAAAGCATTCAGATATGGAACGAGGGAAGAAGACAGAGAGCTCTGAAGTGCAAAGGCATCAGGGCCCAAAATCTGGCCAGCCTCGCAGAAAACCTGGACTTTTCTCTAATGATCCACCAAAGCACAAGACCCTTGGGTTGACCAAATTCTGATGCTTTCTTTCCTGGGTATTTTCTGTCTGCTGCCTCCAGGAAAGGCAAGTGTAAGGGCAGTCTCCCGGCAGCCTCAGCAAGGCCGAGAGGTGATTCCTTCCCTTCCTGGAGGGAGGTGTTCACACAGCTAGTCAGGCTGGAGCTAGCCTGATGGGGGGATGTGATTAGTCAATGTGCGGCTCAGTCCTCTACATGGTCTCCAAGTTCTCCTGACACTTCTTAGAATTTACACAGGACTCAGTGAAGTCTCCAACTTTTTTTTCTCTTTGGAGACATCTACTTTTAATAGGATATACTCAAGGAAAACATGCTCTGATCCTTCAGCTGCCTCTTTTTGGCACACACAAAAAGGAACTGATTCATGGGCATACTGAGGAGGTGGTCAGAAAGGGCTTCATAACAGGACCTCTGGCTGGGCAGCTCCCCTTCAGGTAGGGCCTTGTGCCTCGCCCTTTGGCTGGCAGGCCAGGAGGTGGTTCCATGTTTCAGGGCAGGGAAACTGACATCTGGGGGTCTGCCTGGTATCATCGTGGCACCTCCTGGACAAGGAGTCCTGTGAGTGACTTAGCCCTTTGTACATCTCAAAGCACTTTGACATCCCTACTTTCATTTGACTCTAACAAGAATCCTATGAAATAGGCAGAATGGAAATGATGATCCCAGCTGACAGATAAGACAATTGAGAAGAGAGGCTCAGAAAAAACAGTGGACGTGGATCTGAAGGCATGCGTTGTACTCCTGGCGCAGCCACTGGTCGGCTGACTTTGAGTGAGTCTCCTCCCACTTCTAGGGCCCGGTTTTACCATCTGTGAAATGAAGCGGATGGAGAAGATCACTGCGGGGTTTTCTTACAAATGCCTTATTCTAGGAATGAGCTGCACAAGACAAAGGACTTGCCTGAGGCCATGCGGCCAGCAAGGTGAGCAGTGAGGACACAGAGAGGCTGTGCCACCCGTGTCTTGAGAGAGCTGGCAGAACCCCCCCACCCCGCCATGCTGCTAGCGCCCTGACAGTGCAGAACAACTGTCAGGCAGAGAGTCAGGGGCCTCGAGTTGCCCTCTGTACCCCACAAAGACCTAGACCCCTGGGGGAAGGGAGGTGTGGGGCATCTGCCCAGGATGCTCCCTGACTGTGACTTGAAGCCCCAGTGGTGCCAGCTGCTCATTAGAGAAGAGAAGGCCACTTTGTTTGGCACCTCCCTCGCCAGAAAAACACTGGGCACCCACCCCATGCCAGGCCCTGTGCCAGATGAGGGGATGTGGGAGCGAAGGTGTCTTACTGTCCGCCTATGAGAAAGCCAAGATGGGGGAGTGAGAATGCGCTGGGGCACACGGCTGGGTGGGCTGTGCTCAGACATGGGGCCAGTCCAGCTGCTGCTGAGGTCACAGAGCCTGTGCTGGCACTGGGCTGAATTGTCCTGGAGACAGGAGTGCCCTTTTTGTGACACACACAGAGGCACTAACTGTGGCCCAGGTGAACACAGTCTTCTTGAAGGCAAGTGCAGGATCCGTAAAACTTCAGGAGGGGTCAGGTTTAGAACAGTTTGCATGTAGACCCCATGATCTGAGCAGGCTGGGAAAGCAGTGCACGCATCTGACTCCAACCAGTCCTCTGGCTGGAAGAATGATGTGCTCTATTTCTGAGAGTCAAACCTTCTCACCACATGGAATCAATGAACCCAAGGAGCTTCCTATCTGTATGTGCTGGTAAATGACTATTGTTCTATCTGTTCAAGATAGTCAACAAAATCAACAGGGCCATGTCTCAGGCAGAGTGGTCAGACTCCCTGGGGAAACTGAGGTGAGCAGGATGGGCCTCAAGAACCAAAGGGCTCCCAGGCGAGGCGAGCACAAAGCACAGACAGAAATACCCGTACGACGGAGCAGAGAATGGTTGGTGCTACGAGATCCAAGTTACAGGGTGGGGAAGAAGACACGCAGGAGGAAGGAACGATCAATTCCAACCAGGGACCCAGGAAGTCTTCGTGAAGGAGGTGGTGCACTGGGAGACCATCCACTGGGATGAGGGATGTTCTAGTGCCCTCTTGGCCAGAGTCAGCTAAGAAACCAAGAAAAAGCTGACTCCGTCCTAAGACGGACCATCTGCCCTAAGTGCCTCACAGCATTAAGAGGCTTAAGTGAGGACTGATCTAAATGCACATCGGATAAATAAAATCACCAAATATAAAGCATTTCATCATCACTCAGGGAAGAGCAGGGAGGAAGCTAAAAGCAGAAAGTCTACGAGGGAGGAAGCGGGTGGGGGTGGGTGGCGCCTGCCAAATGCAGGGCTGATGTGAACACCTACTGAGCTCATAACTGGTTCCAGGGAGTTTTTAAAGCCTCCTACAGCTAATTTATTGAAAAAAGCCCAAGAAAAGTAAGTCAGAATGTCTAAATTTTTCAATGGAAGTCCCGGCTGGAGAAGTGGCTTCTCACCCCTGAGAAGCAGGAGCAGCCCCTCACGGTCAGCGGCTGGTGAACCTGGCTCCCCCCTGGCTCCCCACACTGGCTCTGGCCAGGTGTGAGGTCAGGGAACACTCATCAATGAATGCATGGGGTGCTTCCCACTCTCCAAGGAGGCTTACACTCACACTCAGTTTTGATGTGAAACCACGGGCCAGTGGACACACAGAGGGTATATTATCATCTCTATTAAAGATAGGGAAACTGAGGCTGTCAGGAGGGAGAGACCATGTCACAAGCTGGCACCAGCAGAAGGAAGCCCAGACCTGTGCCTACTCTGTGTCACCTCACAACATGCACCTTCTTAGAATGATTATAACTGCCAGTTGTCACCCAGCAAATCACATTCCCTGGCTTTACTGGTGATCTGCATGCTGCTCTGAGCACTGTCCTTGCAATATGTCACATAATCACAGGCTTTCATCGAGGGAGGCCCTATTGTTGTTCCCAAAGGTACTGGCTTATTTCGCTTCAGAAAATGGTTTTGTGCATCCCAGAAGCAAGAGTGTGGTGGGTTCTCGGTCCTTTGACCAAATAAGAAATGATTTAGGTAAAAACCATTGGTTTAGTTGTTTGGAGTCATTGTTCTTTAGAAGAAAGAGAGTAGAAACAGCACAGGGAATTAGGAAGACAGGAGGATTATTATTTTTTAACCAGAGTTATTCCTGCCTGCATAGTTGGCTGTCAGCTTTGACAGATGGCCTGGCTGCAGAAGCGGGGGAGAGGGCAAGTGCATGGTTAAGGTGGCACCAAGGAACTAGAGCCAGCTGGGCTGATGTAGAGCCTGAAATCTGGACCAGCCCAAGTTCCAGCCAGTAAGAGTGGGACAGGGAGCGCTGCCTGCCCCTCCTCTAGATGCCCTCCCACTGCAGTTGCACTGACAGGCCAGTGTCTTTCTGTCCATCTGCAACCTTCTGGCTACAGGTGAGTAAGGTGACAAGGGAGAGCAGAGGAATGTGGCCTCCGAGAGAAAGATGAAGCATGTTCACCATCCCAGCTACCCTCCCCTTTCGTGACCCACCCCAGCCCCTTGGCTGGCGACAGTTTATGTTGTACCTACTTCTAGGGGATATTTTCAGTCTAATAAAAATTCATAGTATAGAAGTTTTGGCAGAAGGCTGGAAATTACAGCCACCCTACAGCTCTGTTGAGGGGTGCCTGGTGATGTGTGCTCAGGCTGAGGTGCTCAGAGGCTCCCCTAAAATGGCAGGAACTGGGGGTGGGGAGAATTGAATTTCAGAGGACTCCCAGCTCCTCAAGGGAGCAGTGGATTAGGTAAGAACGGGTCTGGGGCATTGAGAACGAGTATAATATCTCTACCAGTGTGGCTGGGTCAGCTCTGATCTCTGCAGCTGGTGGGGAGCATTTAGCTGCCCACCACATGGGGTCTCGGTACCTTCCAGACACCAGTAGCTTTAGTATCACCCTGAGGGGGCCAAGCTATCATGGGACCTGGGAGAGCTGAGCCATTACCTAGATCATGTACAGAGGACTAGATTATCAGATTAACTGTTTGTGCCCTCAGTGCACTGACAGAGAGAATGGAACACCGAGTGGGGCAGCTTTGAGAGGAGGAGGCAAGATGAGCCGCAGCATAAAGCTTGTGTGGGAAGCCAAACAGGCAGACAGTAGGGAGGGGTGCTGGTTAGGCGAGTGGCAGGGATAGGAGGGTGCTAGAGGCAAATTCCCCAGCCACATAATTTTAAAGTTTAGAGCTAGAGGAAATCTGAGACATCATCTAGTCCAACTCCTTCAGAGTCAAGACTAAGAACCAGTACCCCCAGGCCCCCAACAACTTCTCAGGCCAGTGGTCTTTCTGGCACTTTCCATCTTTCCCCAGATACTGGCCCCAGTCCCCTGACTGAAGTGGAGTTAAGACAGCTTCTCAAACACTGCAAGCATTCTCGTAATTCCATGGATCACCCAGACATACCTTGTGTGAATAATGCTGATCAACAATCCTTGCCAACCCGAAATCCCCGATCTTGAGAACGAGGTCCTCCGTGCTAATGAAGATATTGGCAGGTTTCAGGTCCCTGTGCAGCACATTGGCAGAATGGATGTACTTGAGCCCCCGGAGTAGCTGGTACATGAACAGCTTTGCGTGCTCCTCTGTCAGTGTGCCCTGCTCCAGCAGGCATGCCAGGTCGGTCTCCATGTACTCCTGGACAATGTAAGCCACACTGAACTTGAACAGCTCGCCCTGCAGGTCAGTGCCCTGTGGCCCCAGCACCTCATACACCTTCACGATGTTGTCATGGTCCAGGCGCCGGATGATCTTGATCTCCCGGAGGGCATGCTTCATGCTGCGGGCATCACTCACAGCGATCTTCTTCACGGCCACCTTCCGACAGGCCCTGCTGTCCACAGCCGACAGCACCAGCCCATTGACACCGAAGCCCAGGGGTTGGAAGTCAATGAAGCGCCCTCCGAGGTCATACCCATAGACACTGGCAATGCAGTCACCCTTCTCGGCCATTGTTGGCTCAGTGGGCAGGGGCTGCCTGTGGGACAAAGGGGCAGTCGGGAAAGGCCAAGTCCCAGGTGGTGGCTTCCCCAGCAGACCTCATTCTGTCAAGTCCCACAACTGAGGGATGCTTTTTCTTGTAGTGATGTCACTACCACCAACTCCCTGGAGATAAGAGTGGCATATGTCCATGCTCACTCAGCTGCAGAAGCTGAAGGCTCAGGCTGTTCTCTTAACCTGCCTCGGGAGGGCTGTCCACCAACTCCTATGTATCCCGAACTCCCTTCAAAGCTTAGAATGGCTCATGCTTCTTTCAAACATAGCAATTTGGAAAGAAGAAATAGTCTCATTATCTATGAGAAGGTAGAGTTTTCTATAATAATGGACATCAAAGGAAAAGACGTACCACCTCTCCTTGAAGTCCTTTGATAAAAGAGTTTCCTTTTGACTGAAATGCAGAGCTGTTGCTATGCTTTACCGATGATGGTCCAAAACTCAGTTGTATTATAGTCTTTGGCAGCTTGGTAACTGCCCTCTGTGTCCAGAGCAGTATGATCAGACCCCAACAATGGATTATGGAGGCTTCTAGGGGCTTCTTTCTACCTTTGCCATCTTCCCTTTCTATCAGCTCACCTTAGATTCCACAATGCAAACCAATCTGGTGAGCTCTGGTGAAGAAAGCAGGAGAAACCCAAGCACCTTTCCTGAGCACTACATCAAATTACACCTGAAGTCCCAAATCCTAGAGGAGCTCAGCTGCCAGGCCAGGATCCTCTGGAGGCTTCAGATGGGGGCAGCATCCTCTGTCACCCCCTCATCCACGCCACTTTGAGCGAACCTGGGTTCTGCCGGACCCAAAGTGGCTGCAGGAACTTGGCATCTTTCAGAGTGGGTCTTCTTCCCTGTGAAAGAAATAACACTGCGTAAATTTCCACACTCTGCCTTCCAGCACCTTCCCACTTGTGTGTCTTTTGTTAACCAGCCCAAGTGTTATTTGATCTGTCCAGCCAGCTGAAACACTGCTTGCTCAGGGGATTCCAGGGTTTGCACTGCCCAGCCACCACTCCTGCTGTGTGCAGCACTCCCCTGGAAGAGAGTGAAGACAGACTGATTTGGTAAGACCATCAAATGGTGTGCCTTTTATCTAAATGCCTGCTCCCTGAAGGTTAACAGGCACAGATTGTGGGCAGGAATAATGAGCTCTGATCTTTGAGAAATTCATTTGTTAGGTCCTCCGAACACACCAGCACTAGCTGGGAAGGGAGAGGGTGGAAAGTAACTAGTTACAGAAAATAAGGATCAATAATTTTGTTTTTCTCCTTAGACTCCTTTTCTTCCTTCTTTTGCAAATATCTGAATATTTTGAGAGAATGTGACTGTGATTTAATTACATTTGTATCTCTTGCTTTCCATGTAGGTGGCATAAGCACACTTACCAAGGAAATCATTGCCAACCTAATAAAGGGACTTGCTGCCTAGCAAAACAGGGCACATACTTCTTAGCACATCATCAGGACTGGTTTGGTGAACTGAATTCTTTTTGATGATGGAGACCTAGCTTTTCAAAGCAATCAGTCAAATCCTATCCTGACTGCCCCCTGGTGGCTGCTGCCTCAAATTACAGGCATAGGACCTAAATGGGTAGAAGAAAACTACCAAACTGGGAATATATATTAAAATCTCCCAAGTAAAGGCAATACCATAGCTTCTAATAGAGTTGTAGGTTTTATAAGTTTTGTTAGTACATGGATGTACTGAGAACACTGTATCCTGCACAAAGAAGTGAATCTAGCTTCTTAATTCTCATCATACTGGGGCTCCCTGCAGGGATATTTTCATATCTGGACTCTGCCCAACTCTGCAAATGACAAATGAAGCAAAACAACAGTCAAATTAATGCTCTGAAATTAAGGGGGTAAGAGGACACATGGAATAGTAAATAATTAGATCCCTGTAAAGACTTCTAATGAAAGAAATTTGCCAAGGGTCTGGGACATAGTATTTGCTCCCTAGATATTACCTGTTATTGCCATTGTTAAAAATACCCTTGCACTCGAATAAGACATACCTACTATTCTTATGTTTCATCAGATCTTCAGCAGTTCTACTCAGCATATTTTTTGAGGGCCCCAGCAACAAAATTAATTACAGACTTACAGAATTTCAGACTGGGAAGCAATTGTATCAAACAAGTCCAGTGGTTCTTAACTGGGGATTGGTTCTGCTCTCCTTGGCTCATTTGATAAAGAGTCACTACCAGTCTTTACTGGGCAGATCCAGATCTGCAATCCATCCTGCCAAGCATCTCCATCAGTGAATAACTGACACCCACTCCCAATTGCCAACCCTCCACTGAGTGACAGTGATTCTAGTCCAGGTCCTCACTCTGCAGATGAGGGTGTGGGGGCACAGAGAGCACCAGCTAAGTGCTTCTAACACAGACAGGGTCAATCAACATCTGATGAATTGAGAAACGAATACCATTCACTCTCTTTGAGATTTCCTAGCTAGTGCAGTCGATGGCCTATGATAATGAGTCCACCTGGATACCGGATTCAAAAGAATAAAAGAACCATGCCAGTGCCCCATTCCATCCCTCCCCTGACTCCTGCTGCCCAAGTTAGGGAAGAGAAACTAAACGGGAGCTTCTTTCACTTTCTACCCATATCCTGGTCTGGTTCCCAATGACACAGCAAACAGAGGAAACTACATATTTTGCTTTATGAGGAGAGACATTTAAGTCTTCTTCCCTCTCCAGCTCCCACTGGGTTGTAAACAGACAGGATTGAGCACCTAAGCAGGGAGGAGATGACATCACCAGCCAGCTGAAAGCACGATTTGCTCAAGATCAGCTGCAATGCAGATAATCTGTGCATAATTAAGAGGTGTTTTATTTAAAACTCGTTCCTTTCCTTTCGCATGGGGTGGAACTCTCTCCTGTGTGTGAGTGTGTGTGTGTGTGTGTGTGTGTGTGTCTCAGTGCTCTCCTGACACACTGTCGGCTTCAGTGGACAGGTACCACGTCACCTTGGGAAGGCCTGATCCCAGCCACTCTGCCTTCCTCATGGGCCTCTGAATACATCTCTCCGTTTCCGTCTAGCTTCTTCACTTGCACCTTCCCAATTTCTAAAAGTCTCTTGCTTCCTTCCTGCTTGTTGAAATCCTGCCCATCATTCAGAATCCAAAGTCTCACTTCCTCTTCAAAGTGTCCACTTCTAAAGTGTCCTCAGTGACATCTCTCCCTTTTCTAAACTCCTGTGGCATTCCTGTATATACTGTCTCTGACATTTACCATATACTAACCTTGGTTGTTATTTAACTTTTTATACATGTCCATCTCTCAACTAGACTTTACGCTTCTCAAGTCCATGGCACAAAGCAGCTCTTGGCAAGTAACTGGATGGGAGGTACCTGAAGAATGATGTCTCCGAGACCGTGATGCCCTCACTCCCTGGACAGGCCGCCTCCCCTCCCTCCGCCTGCGGCTGTGGTGCAGCTCCCCCTGCAGGGCTCTTCTCACAGGTCCCAGCCACTCAGACTGGTATTTCTGAACCACAACCTCTTTAGTATCACCTTTGTGTAGATGCTCCCTCTGTTAGAATTTCAACACTGGCCGGAAAGCCCGTCTGACCATTACTCTGACCCTGTTTGAATGTACTGTTATTCATCCCTTCTCAAACCTGTTTATTTTCTGATTTTTTAAAATAACTCCTCTACAATTTCTACTGTAAACCCTTTGCCTTTCTCCACAGGGAGGCTGATTATGAAACACCTATTACCTAAAAAGTATCAGATTAGTGGTTCACTTCCTGCATGATATATACTAAGAGGCATGGGCCCAACAGCCCTTGAGAGAGGCAGATCCTGTGTCTGGATGTGCCCACCTAGGCCGAGGAGTGAGGATGGCAGCTCAGGGTGATATACAGTGTCTCAGGGCAAAGTAGATTTCATTCTGCATTTAGAGGTGGTGGCCCAGAGCTGCTCTGAATTACAGGTGTGATTTCAAACCAGGGAGTTGGCATTCCCCTTGAGAAAAGGAAAGGTCATGGCAGCTGTGCTCGAATGACACTTAGCAAGAAGAGAATGTGTGTAACTCTTGCAAGGGTACCCAGGTTCCCATGATTCCAAGGTGAACATTGTAATAAAACAGGAGTAGAAATGTCTACCCCCAGCATGCCTAACAATGGAGCTTCATCTCTCCACTGATTTCTCATGCACTCTTCTGCAATATCTTATTTGAGGACAAATAATTATGCATCCAGCCTTTTAACATGTGAAGGCAAACCAGAATGGAGATGGGTGTGCCAGCTGTTTCTTCCTGGGATTCCTGGAGCTCTGGTTTACAAGGCAGCTTTGGAAAGTCTAAATTTAGACTCACCTTCTCTGCCTGCTCAGATCCTCCCAAACCTCATGCTGCTGACTTTCAGCAGGAACTGTGGCCACTGGTGAGGTGCTGACATTTCACAGACACCACTTTATTCCCTCTCCTGAGCACCCAAAAACTTGCAGGAAATTATTTTCAGTCAGGGCTGCTGTTCTGTTGTATAGGCTGTACACTGCACAATTCTAGATGGCACCATTCATACCACAGTCAAGTCCGTCTGTCTCTAAGATTCATGACCCTAATCACCAGGTCTATGTGTATGAAGTCCTCTAGACCACAGATCAGCAAAGTTTTTCTATAAAGGGCCAGAGAATAAATATCTTAGGCTTTGTATGACATAGGGTCTCTGCTGCAACTACTTAATCCACCTACCCAATCCTGCCTTTAGAGTACAAAAACGGCCACAGATAACACCCAAGCGAGGGCATGGCTGCATTTCAGTAACATTTTATTTGCAAAAACAGGTGGGGAGACGGATTTGGTCGGGGGGACTGTAGTTTGCTGACGCCTGCTCTAGATTGGGTAGCAACATCCTCCAGCTTGCTCCTGAGGAGGCACTTGTTCCTGAAGTGTGTGTAACCCAGGCCCCTTTCTGCCTCTTCCTAGACCGTCTCCTCCCTCCTGGCACTACCCCAGGCCTGCCCTCCCGGGGAGGAATCCTGGGCTCAGAACCCCACCCCAGGCTTAGGTAAGCTCATCTGTAGGCTTCATGTCCTCAGGGCCAGATCTCTGTTTTCCACGAGCTACCTTCCAGTTCTGCGATGCTGTGGGTGCACCTCACTCCTAAACCCCAGGTGCGTTTAAGCAGAGGCTTTCTGGTGAGGCCGGGGTGATGACATGAGGTTGGGGGTCACAACACCAGCTGAGAGCTGACCACTGGCCAAGGGCTCTGTCTGATTAGCTCAGCTGGGTCTCAGCACAGCCCTTTGGGGTGGATATCACGCTCTTGTGAAGCTCCTGAAGGAAGCTATTTGCCAAAGTCACACCACAAGCAGGCGATGAGTCTGGGATGCAAACCCAGGTCTATCTGACTCCAGAGCTGATTCTTGTTACTGTAACACATTATCTGAGCCCAGGTGAGTGACTCTAACCATACACCATCTAGGCCCATCTAATAGGACTGACTTCCAGGCCTACCGAAGGGCAAATCTGGGGTAGGCACACACTGCGGAGCTTCTCAGATTAAAGCAAGAGGCAGCTACCTTTTCAGCCTGTGTTCAGCCTTAGTGTGAAGGCCACGGTTAATAAGCCCACTTTAGGAAAAGAGAAACTGAAAACAACATCCTCCCAGTTGAGCTTGTGTGGCCTACACTGGAACCATTCCCACTGCCAGGTCTGGGTCGGCCATCAGGCAGCTGAGCCCAACCCACGATGACACAACATGGGTCTAAATTGGAGTTTCTCAACCTTAGCATGATGGACCTTCTGAACTAGATCATTCTTAACTGTGGGGCTGGTCCCAACCCACTAAATGCCACTAGCACTTCCTGGTTCGTATGACAGCCTCATACATTTCCTAGATCCTAGAGGACACAGGCATCTCCCACACCCATCCTTGTTGAGGGCCATGAGTCTAAATTGTGTTAATCCAATTCCCCTGTGGCAGTGGTTGGTTTAGGGGTGTTCATATGATCCAGTTCTAGACAATAAGTCTTAAAAGAAAGTCCACTGGGGGGCCCCAGAGAAAATGTTTCCTTTCCTAAGAAGAAATCCTACTCCCTGTCTTTGGATGTAGTTGTGGGAGGAAGTGGTGCTGGTGCAATAGCAGCCATATTGAGACCATGTGGGAACAAGCCTGGGGATAAAGGCCAGCACACTGGAGTTGGAAGATATGTATGGGGCGTTATTGACATTAACAAGTTGCTGAGCCAAACCTGGAAATGCCTACCTCCAGCTTTCTTGTCAGGTGAGATTGTCAAGTCCTACTGTTGTTTACCACATTTTTACTGTGGCTCTACTTTTTTTTTACCCTGAAGCTGAAATTATCTAACTAATAGTAAATTTCTAGGTACATGGTTGGTGTAGGTGGGAAATGAAAAGATGTAGAACACATTACTCCTGATCTCAGGGAGTTTATAAACCTTTTGGGAGGGAAGAACCACAATCCTAACAATTACAGAAACAATGCAAGAATATTCAGGGGCTGACTTCATGATTTCCACAGCAAGGGTAGTAGAGTTAGGCCTGGGCAGATCAGCCAGAGAAGGCTCTTGCAGGTGTGGAGGGCAGCTCCTGAGGTTGCTACCAATGATCTCCACCTCCTTACTTCAGGCCCTGGGTAGCCCCCTCCTTTTAAGTGTGCTGAACTTACTGACTCACTTCTAAGGAACAGAATTCAGTAGAAGTAATGGCCTGTCACTTCTGAGATCAAGTCATAAAAAAAGCTGTGGCTTCCACCTTGGGTGATCACTCTTGTCAGCAACCTGTCAGGAGCCAGCCCCATGGCCAGCCCTGTGTGATTCCTGCAAGGGGACCTCCTGAGGTGCACTGGCCACCACGTGGGTGAGCTTGGAAGCAGATTTTCCCCAAGGTGAGCCCTGAGAGGACTACAGGCCTGGCCACAGCCCGACTCACGAAAGACATTACACTGGGCCTTCGGCTCTTCGGTGCTGAGATTCCTGACCCACAGAAACGGAGTGACAGTAAGTGCCATTTAAGTGGCTAAACTTTGGGGTCTGTGTTATACAGTAGCAGATGACTGAGGGACTTGGAGATCTGCAGTTCATGACCTTTCTCACAGAGAGGAGAGGCAAACTTGCCCTGAGAATGTGAGAGCCCTCAGGCTGGGGGCTGGGGGTCCTATGTGGCTTGGATCTCATCAGACTCCAGAGCCAGACAGAACCTCGGGGAGGGGAGGAACCTTACCTCTCTGTTTACACTGATGTAGCCCCAGAGGCTAGTCCTGCACCTGGCATACAGTAGGGACTCAATAAATAAATGGAAAGACAAATTAAAAATGCACCCCTGAGGCAGAGTTCAGAAACCTTTTCCAATCCCTCCAGGGTGAGTGGGGGGTGAAGGTTCAAACAGGGCTGTCACATAGGCCCCGGAAGAGCCCAGTGGCTGGCAGGCGTTTCCTCCAGAGCAGGGCAGTCATCACCGTGTGTCTCTGTGTCCAGCACCGAGACCCTGTAGGTGCTTACCCTCAACAGCACAGTGGTGCTCCCAGGAATTATGAGGGACACCTCTTCCTGGTCTTCCAACTTTTGAAGTGTACCTTCCCCTCCACCCAGGAGGACAGCAGGCTGGAAGTGCCCATGTGAAGTTGCCCACATGAAGGAGCCCTTTCTCTTAGGGGGAGCCCTGGTTCACAGGCAGATGGCTGCTCCAGCGCCGCCACCAAGATGCTGACTCAGGCTCACTTCCTCTGTCCCTGGCCTCTCTCACGCACAGCACCCCTCCCAGCCGAGGTTCTGGGATCACCCTGTGCACACTGGCCAGCAGGACAGCAGCCCACCCAAGACAAAAGTCACAGAAATATGCCCCAGCACGCATCCTCCCCTGGACATCCCTGCCAGCGGTGATGCACCCTGGCCTGTTTCCCTTATGTGGTTTCCTTGAGAACACGCTGGTGGGGATGCTGCTGAGAAAGAAGCAGGCACGAAGCTGTTTTGTCTTCATTTCCCTGAGAGGGGGTGAGCAGAGAGCTGCTGGGTGCTGGAAGAAAAACGTTAGCAGAGCAAACATCAGACCCTGGATGGGGTACCTCCTCTCCCTAAAACAAAATGCAAAAGCATTCAGTTCAGTCTTTGCTCTGCTTCTCTTGAAAATTACACAACCAGCCAGGGAGAACACAGACTTCCCAGGCCTCCTAACAAAACTGAAATAGCATGGGGAGAAATTCCGGTGGCCTCACTGGGGCCCCATGTCCACATTGGCACAAAGCTGGGGACAGAGGGCAGTCTGAGTCCCTATGTGTCAAGTATGGGTGCTGGTCACCATGAGAACAGTATGGGCCATGGGGCACCTTCCCAGGCTCAAGGCTTGGAGTTCTGACTTCTGGATCACAGGTGTGGGAGAGGGTGTGTGCATGCCAGGGTTTAAATCCTTCTGATCTTAGACAGCTTCTAATTTGACCTTTATAGATTCAAGGGAAACTTCTCATTCACTCTTTAAGGAAGGAAACCTGGGATAGCTGAAGATGTTGGCCGCTTTCAAAATCTAAATCAGGACAGTTATGACTTCAGTGGCTAAATAAGGTGAGGTGCCATTTGGGGCTTGCTTGGTTTGGACTGTGTTCGAGAGGGCGGAGATCCCAGCCAAGGGCTAAGCTTCTCCAAAGTAGAGCCTGCATCTTTCATTTCTCCTGCCCTTGCTTTATTTAGCACTCATTGCCTGATGCCCACAGGGCACTGTGCCTTCCCTGACAGTAAGCCATCGTGGGAAAACACAAAGTCACTGACCCTTGAAAAGCTCAATGTTCCTTTCCTGCCTAACTTGTGGGGGCCATATATGGGACCATTTACTCCTTAACTGCAGGGTAAGAGTCTTGCCCAGGATGCTAAAAGGTTCATGGTTTTTAGCTAAAGGATGCAACATTAAATTGTATTTAGACCAGAAAGGGAAAATGTGTGTCAGGTGGACTGCTATCAATGCATTCTGTACCTGTAGACATTAATAATCAATGATCACCCTCTTTACCGATGAGCCAGGAAAACTAGAACCCTTTCCAAATAACACCTCGAGAGCCTCTGCAATTGCCTGTTGCTAGCTCTCAGGGCAGAGTCTGCTGGCACCCACTGCATGACTCTCGTTGACCTCACGCTCTTACTGTTACAGCCTGGCTCAGGCCTTGTTCCAGAGACCAAGCCTCCACCTTGTCCCCCAGGAACATGCACAGTCCAACTCAGCCAGCATTTACTCAGTACCTACTATGTACTGGGCATGGTCACGCACATTGAGCAATGTTGACTTTAGCATCACAATATACTGTGAGGCAAGTGTAACTGTTACCCAGAGTGAATAAACAGCACAGTGCCTTGCACACAGTAGGCACCTGGGCCCTCCTCTTCCTTCCATTCTGCAGAGTTGAAGTGACTTCCTCAAGATCACACAAAGGAAAGGGTTCAGGTCCTCATCTAGGCTTGGTTCCAACAGCAGTGCGCGCTCTGTCATCTCCTGCGGGGGCTTCCTCCGGTAGGTCCCTCTCCCTCTGTCCCTCTCACACTTATTTGCTTTTGTTTTTCTCATTTTCCCAGTTCCTCAAAGAAGGATTTCCCTTGCTCCCATAAATCATTTTGGGAACTGATATCTTTTCTAAACATTTCCAGCCTCTGACCTCATGGTTACCTTGACTCTACTCACCAGCCATATAAAATGCGTTTCAGTCCATTGAAAATGTCTATTCGCCCTTGCCTCTGGGCTTCCACAGGTGCTGTTCCCTGTCCTCTTGCCCTGGCTAATTCTTATTCATCCTTTGGGTCTAAGCTTAAATGCCCCTTCATCCACGAAGCCTTCCCTGATGCTCCTTTCCCTCCCAAGACTAGCTTATCTGTCAGGCTGTGTCCCCTGTCCTATCCCACATGTCACTTTTCTCCCTTTTTGTTTCTGCTTCGATTGCTTATTTTCAGTGTTTGGCTGGACAGTTGTGTGGGGGGGGCACTCCTTCACCGTGGGGATCACTGTACCCCCGTGCCTAATTCCTAATCTTAATACATAATAAATTTGGGCAGAACAAATGCATTCAGAGAATCCACGCTCCAGACCATCACGTACAAATTCATATCTGTAATACTCACTTCTTTCCTCCCCATGAGAGACACCAACCAGATGTGAGAATTTCACAAGTCTGTCTGATTCAAGTCCTGCCTTCATCCCCTTTAAGCTTCATAGAGTTCGTGACTTCCTTTCACCAGCCCTGCTTCTCACCCAGTCACCTGGCCCATTATCCAGAGAATGTGTACACACAACTCCCTCCATCTATTCCCATAGAGGTAATCATTTACAAGGGTGTGCTCAGAGGTACAAAGAAATCATTCACAGAGCAGGAAAAAAATTATCCTTTTCCTGGCGGTTGCATCTCCCTGTTCACAAGTGACAGAAGTGGCATTTTGATGGCTCAGGTGACAGCAGCAACTGTGGACCACACAGGACTGTCACAGCCAAGCCGCAAGTCACGGGCTGGGAGCCAGGAGGCCTGCATCTAGTCCTACCGCCTGGGAGCTCTCCAGCGAGGAGTTTCAAATCTGTGACGTGGGGATGACTACAATGTCTCACTTACTCATGGGGATAAGAACACAGAGGCCAGCGATACGAATATATTTTCAAAAGTCTAAAGGACAAATTGGAGGTAAGTTACAACCTACTGTTTATACTAAAATTAACAGCTTCCACAGTGATATTAGTTGGGCTCCAGGGAGTTGGAAACATTACCCCATCTTATCCCTGAAGCTCATCCTTTCACGTTCCCCCGACAGTGAGTGGCTTCCACGTGGAAAGAGGGGAGTGCTGGCCCACTAGCCATTGCACATGCATTTTGAGTCATTTTTTGGGCAAGGGGCAGGTAGTGGGGAACAAAACTAAGTTATCCATATTTTCCCTTATGACCCAGCACATGCTGAGACACCCTGCCTGGAATGGAGTGTCTAGGAACGAATCTACAATGAATCACTGCAATGGACTGAATGTTTGTGTCCCCCACAATCCATATGTTTAAATCCTAGCTCTCAGTGTGAAGTGTCAGGAAGGCAGGCCTGTGGGAGGTGATCAGGCCAGGACGATGGAGCCCTCCTGAATAGGGTGAGTGCCTGATGAAGGAGACCTCCGGGAGTTCTCTCGCTTTCCTTCCACCATGTAAGGACACAATGAGAAGTGGCAGTCTGCAGCCCAGAGGATGGCCCTCCTCAGAACCCCCCCGTGGCGGCACCCTGCTCTTGGAATGCCAGCCTCCAGAAGGCTGAGAAATAAGTTTCTGTCATTTATAAGTCACCCAGTCTATGGTACTTTGCTAGAGCGGCCCAGACTGACTAAGACACTCACCAATAGCTAACCAAGTTCATTTTGGTGATGCCATGTGCTCTGTTCTAACTTACTGACCTCTGTCACCATGTGTCCAGTGCTGTCTCCTCTGCTCCCCTTCTGAGCATCTTCCCTCTCTGAAAGGTTCTTAGACCCTGAGAATCAGAACTACATGCCACAGAGACCGCACTGTAGGAACAGGACCCACTGGAGAAAAAACGTGCCGTTGGGTGCTGGCTTCCGCATTCTCCTCCTGCTTTAGTGGAAGAGCTACCAGGGGGCCGTTGGCCTCTTAGGAACAGTGAGCTCCCCGTAAGCCTGTAAGGGATTCCACACTTAGAGAAGCCTGTCCTGATGGTCAGCACTCCATGTGAGGCCATCAGATCCCATTGCACATGGGCGGGGGAAGAAGGGAAGTGATCAGCCTTCAGACTACGGGCTCCCTGCAGAAGACAAAAGATGGCTTCACTGCCTGGAGGGGGAGCAGGAAGGAAGGAAAAGAAAGTAATGGAAGCACCAGAAGAAGAGGAACCAGGGAGGTGGGTAATGGCCCAATGGACCTGCCCCTCCCCCACCAGGGTTCTTAGATAAATGAGGTAAGAAACAGCCCTGTTGGTGACACTGGGTTTCCAGCCAGCTGGCATGTATGTTATTAGCTGGTTCTGATTTCATCTGGAGACAGGTGACCATCTTGGCCTTGTGGTGTTAAGATCAGTGCCAGGTCAGTTCATACTAATTGCCATAGGAACTGATGTTCCCTCCCCCTGCAGATAAGGAAACTGAGGCCCAGAAAAGGGAAATGACTCTTCCAAGGCCACTCAGAGAGGCCATGACCTTGCTTTGTAGAGTGCCCAGGCTGCTGTCTTTTGGAACAGGCCCTTCTATGCATTTCTTGGGCCTCAAGATGACCTGGTGGATTGTCAGGCTTCCTTCCATCAAATGAGGAAGGGGATCCTGACCCAGCTGGTAGGGTTATGCATGGCAAGGCCTAGCTAGCTGCAAAGGAGCAGTTCCTCCTCCTCAAATAATTAAGTACTTGTTCTCTATCAGGGAAAAAAAAAGTCACATATGGACTATGTGGCAGCAGCTGTCAGCCTGCCAAACTGGGATCCTCTCCCTTCACCGATAGCAGAGCTGGGAGCCAGGCTGCCCTGGCAGGAGGGGGAAGGAGGGTTGGGAATTGGTCCCTGTTTCCACTGAGGATGCGCAGGGCCTGTGCTGAGCACAGTGCTAGTGTTTGGTGTGCGAGGAAAGCTCCAATTCCATTTTAGTCTGAGGAGAGCTGGGGCCCCTAAGGCCAGGAGCAGGAGAGGCCTCTGCATTCACGTGTCACACGGCAGTGAATGAATCACAGGACTGTGGACAGTCTGGTGCTTACATGCATCAGTGAGAAACCAAGCTCTTGGCATCCTGACGAGACCCGGCAAGGTGCGGGCCCACACTGGGGCAGCAGAGTGGAAGAGGAGCCTCAGGGAAGGGGGATGAAGAGAGAGAAAGGGAGAGTGACTGGAAGAGGGCCCCCCACTCCATTTCCAGAGGTGACTGCCTGCCTTCTTTTTGAGTCGCTAAGCTATTGGCACTTCACATACACAGGCCATGCTCACTGCCTGGGCAGCTTAGACACACATCAATAAAGTCCGCAGTGCAGAAAACGCTGGAACCTTGACAACAGCATGACCAACACACTATGGCACATTAGGTCGACAAATGTAGTCCTGGCCAGCAGCCAAGAACTCCGCAGTTCTCCCAGGTTAGGGCTTCCTGGGGCAGGAACTGGATTTTACCTGCACCGTGTAGTTAGCTGGACCCCCGGGTCAGGCTGGCACCCCAGCCAGGGCAGTGCGAAGCTTGCCAAGCAGTGGGCTGGACAGTGACGCAGGAAAGCATTCCTTTGCCTCTCCCTTTCTCTGCACACTCTAGATAAATGAGCCTCAGGATTTAAGAGCTCTGAGAAACCAGCACAAACCAGGCTCTGCCTTCTTGTTGGGACCTGGAATTCTCATGTGCCGAGAACAAGAGATAAGTCAATGCGTCTCTGAGCAGGAGGCTGCCTGGGGAAGCTCTCAGCCATCCCCAGGCTTATGGAGACCCAGCCTCCAAGCCACGCTTTGGGAGGAAGGCTACCTGACGGACACAGCCCTCATCCCGATGCCGAAGGGCCAGGGCAAACTGGGGCTCAGAGGAGTAGGCCAGGTAGTCGGCTGGCTATGCATCATGCACAGAGCTGCCCTCCGGAACATGGGGAAGAGGTAAAGGCCAGATAGTAAGAAGCGGTGGCTGGACCAGGGCAACAGACCAGGAGGAGCTGCCTCCCCCAGCACTGGTCACCTGTCAACTGGAGTAAGCTGAGTGAGGCTGCTGCTCACCAAGGCTGGTGGGAGGGGACAGAACCCCTGGCTTCCAGGGAGAACCTTCTGGATGGGAGGAAGGATGCTTTTAGAACAAGGCTTTATATTAACAATGAAAAAATCATTTTCTTTTTTCAAGAAGCAAAGTAAATTGTTTTTTGTTCTGAATCTGTTTCAACTGCCTAAATCACAAATTAGGATCCCAAGTGTGGGCAGACATAGAGTCTAGGGACAACTCAAGAGGCCTGGTGTCAGAAAGCCCAAAGAGACGTACAGCGTGGGTCTCATCTGGTTTGAGCCAAGCGCCCTTGTGAGAGTTCTGATCAACCAGAACTGAGGTGGAGGGCCTGGGACCCAAGACCCACCCGCAATTCCTTTATTTAGTTTTATAAGGCAAGTGTATTTCTTTGAAGTAAAACAAAAAGCAAAACGAAACACTGATTTTGATAGTAGCCTTTGACCTTGTGATTAATTTGTTCTGTCTTTGACACAGCTGCAAATAGGGGTGCCAACTCCAACAGTAGGCTCACCAGTCTCCAAGGATCAAAAGTTCACTCTAGTCCCATCTGAGTTGTCAGAGAAAACGGTTGGGGCCAAGGCCTGGAACAGTCTTGGTGACCTTTCACTCTCTGTGCCTGTGGTCAGGATGGTCTTGTTCCTTCTCTTTCTACCCCCTCCCAAGGCCTTGCTGTGAGGCTGCCTTCCAGGGGTGAGCAGTACGGGCAGTGACCTGAATGAACAAGGTTAAGGTGAGGGAGGGAGGTAAGTCCCTGTCTTAGAAGTACTGCAATCTGTCCCCTTTTCTTCATCCACACAGCATTAGTTTAGGTTCTGGATGTCCCCATGAGTCCAATTTTGCACCCTGCCGCCTCCAGCTATTGGCCTCTCTGTGGCTGCAGGGTGCCAGAACCATCCACTTGTGCTTCTCTGCAGCAGAGAGCATGTGGTTCCCCTCAATGAGTATGCTAGAATGAGTGAGTGAATGAATCAAGTCCCAAGGGCTCCCAAATGCTCCCTCTGCCACATTCCTGCATTATTATTTCTAAATACACATCTGACCATTTTATTCTCCTGTTTAAAACAATTTTTTAAATAGTTCTCTGCTGCCCAGAGATTAAACCTAAGCTCTTCACCCTGCCTGCACATCAGAGCTGCATTTCTTACCACCCCATGACCAACCTCTCTTCATAAACGTCACCCCACATTGCAGATAGGGGTGACTGTTCTTGATTCACAACATTCCAGGCATGTGCAGCGCATCTGCTGGTGATACTGTCCTCCTTGTGTTCCTGGAACAACCCTAACTGTACTGCGCTCAGACGTCACCCTGCCATCCTCGGAGTAAAGTCGTCCTTCTCGGAGCTCAGAAAGCACAACGCAGACACTCTGGGAGCCATCTCATGGGCTTCAGCCTCTCTTGGGTCTTTCTTCCCAGTCCACTGGGAATCCCAAGGGCAAAGCCCAGTGGCTGGTTCACCCTTATATCCCCTGCCATGTTGTACGGTTCCTGGCCTGCAAGGGGTTTTGCTGGTAGAATGCTGGTAACTGCCTGTTCTCTTGGGCATCACACCAAAGGCAGGGTGTCATCCACACAGCAGGGAACAGGCTAGCTTCAGCTAAAGTAAACACAGAGCACAACTGCCTGTCATTTCCTTGGCTGTTCATCCCTTTTTCACCCTTTTCTGGCTTTCAGATCACACTGACCAGTTAGCAGGATGCTAACTGCAGGCTGTTTACCGAGACTGGGTTCGGGCTACCTCCTCAGGCTCACTTGCTACTTCCCTTCTTGAGGAACAGCCACATGTAAAGACTGCAGAGCTGAGACTGCTCCTTAGGAACTGTTTTGCCTAATTCTTCTGGAAGCCTCAGCTGCTGTAGACAGTTTTTATCGCTTGGTAGCTCCATGGATAGCAATAAAATTGAGATGAAAACACATTTGCAAAGCGACTTTCCACTGTCCAAAGCACTTGCCTATAGTATTATTTAAATATTTAATACAGCCATGTAATATTTATTGAGCATTGCTATGTATCACGCAGTGGGGATGTGGGGACAAATAAAACACAGTCCTTGGTGCCATGCAACTGATAGCCTGGAGACAGAGGGGCAGATGTGGCACAAATAATGGCACAAACAACACCTGTGTATGATTATAATTATGATAAATGTATGATAGGAAATAATATGGGACACTATGAATAGGTGACAAGGAGACAATTACTTTTGGAAGAAACAACAGATTCCCTGAAAAAGTATTCTTTAAACTGAGAGAGTGGAGGCTAGCCAGGAGGTGGACTGGGGAGATGGGGAGATGGGGAGAGCACCGGGCGGTGGGTCAGAACCAGGAGAGCCTTGAGAAGCCTGATGTTGGAGGAATAGAGACAGCTGGTAGGATGGATCCTCTGGGTCACAGGAGGGGTGGAGGGAAATGAGCCCAGGGAGGGAGATGCGGCCAGAGCAGGGGCACCTGTTTCATTCTCCTCCACAAGAGTTTGGGCAGGAGGTGTTGTCCCTATGTGTCCCCTGAGGAAGAAGAGGCCCAGGGTAGCTTTCTCCTGGGCAGAAGTTGCCGGATGTCCTGGCAGAGGGGCCCACTGCAGGCTGGCTGACAGTCCCTGCACAAAGCCACATCCTGCAGTTCCACTTCATCTACGCCGGGTGGTTGGAGGTGGGCTGGGCTTGGGCTTGGCTGAGGCGGCCCACCCTGCGGCATCCATGTTCCCAGTAGGACCTCCCCACTCTGGCCGGCCAGGGGTGCTCCCAGTGGGACCCCCTCCCCCGGCACCGACTGGCCAGGGGCGCTCCCAGGTGTACAGAAAGTAGCTGCAGGGTAGAACAAAGTCACTCCAGCCACCAGGGAACGGCCAGGGGTAAATGACCCTCGTACTGCTCCCATTAATGTTTCATGAACAGCCGCATATCATTTGTTAGAAACTGCCAGGAGAAGGCAGAGTCTCCCACAGAGGGAGGCTACAGGGCCGCCCTGTCCTTGGCTGGGGGAACAGGATCTCAGGGAGAAGGTGATAAGGTGCAGCGCTGTGGTGAACCTTGGGCTTATAATAAGTACTCCAAGTTCAAGGCTGATCTCAGTCACTTACAGACTATATTTTATTTACAGATATTACAGACCCTGAGCCTCAGGTTCCTTACCTGCTAACCAGCATATTAATGCCTTCCACAGGGTTTTCTGGGAATCAAAAACAACAGCCAGAAGGCAGTGTGAAAAACAAAATCATCACACAAAAGACTGTGGAAATACTAATCACATAGGCATTACACCTTCTCTAAATAAGTAATAACATGAAACAGTAACAACAGGTGATGGTGTACTTCCCCCAACTTAACTTCACAATGCTATTCCCAGGGACACACCAGGATTGCCTCCACCTCCCTAACGGGGAAACTGAAGCACAGGATGGAGAAGGAAGTCGCCTAGCCGCACCCGCTGGGAAGTGGCAGAGCTAGGCTTCCAGCCTGAGCAGTCTGCTCCCACCCCAGGCCCTTACTATGCCATGAGGCCGTGCTGCCTGAGTGAATGAAATGACCCAGGACACTTGCTAAGAGTTGTCCTGGCAATCGGACTATGGGGCTGGCGTGCCAAGCAGCACCACTCGACTGCCATTAGCATGGCCCTTTGACAAGGGACTGACTTTCTCCTGCTTCCATTTCCTTTTGTGACCAGAGTTAGCAGTCAGATTAGTGGGTTCATTGCAAGAAAACCCGAGAAAGATAACTGGCTGTCGTCGCTAGTGTCAAACGGCTCTACATGGTGTTTAATCACCACCCAGCTGCAGGATCTTGCTCGGGTCCTCGCAGGCCCAGCCCTCCGCCAGTCCCAGCACAGCGGAACTGTCACTGCCAGCCCTGCGAGCCTGTGGTGCTCTGCCAAGTTCTCGGGCGTTCAGGAGCAGAGCGCCTCACTGATCTTTAACCCCGCGGCCTTCAGTGCTCAGCAGAAAGCTCCCTCACCTTCCAGCTCTGGTCCTTCCGCTGCATCTCACCCTCCATCACTCCCAGCTCCTGCTCTTTCCTGGCCACTCCTTCCCCTTCTCTTCTGCTGCTCCCATCGTCCCGCTCCTGATGGTTCTCTCCTGCGAATCCTCATCCCATCCCTTATTCTCCACTGCAGCTCTGAACAGTGTCCCCTCAGAACCGCCATGTGGGGGTTCAGAGAAGAGGAGGGGGTGCAAGTGCAGGAACAGCCAGTCTTACGGAAATGCTGACCAGTCTGGACAGCTCCAAGGTTACTTTCTGTTCCTTACCTCTCTCCATCTTTAAACATTCATACTCCTCCCTGTTGGCACCCAAATAAGGACTGGAGTCCAGCACCTCTCTCAAGGGACTAAGATGCCCAGTTCCCTCTCCCAGTGGATCTGGATTTTAAGCTTTGTCTCTAACCATGGATGAAAATCCGTGTTCTGGTAGGAAAGGTAAGGCATCACCTTGGTTGCCATGAGGCCGTGCTGCCTGAGTGAATGAAATGACCCAGGACACTTGCTAAGAGTTGTCCTGGCAATCGGACTGTTTGGAGGAACAGTTTCTGGTAGCTTAAAAATGACATCATGGAGGTTGCCAAGAAAGAGGAGAAGAGATGGTCATGGAGTGCCCTTCTGACAGTGGGGTACAGGGAAATGCACCTAACACAGTACTCCACTTACCCCACAAACACTGCTGTCTGTCCTCCCTGCCCAAACATCTCCTGAGTCTTTGGCTTGCACCACTGAACAATAAGGGCCTTCCAGAATCAATGACAGGCAGGACTTTGTTCCCAGCCACCTAGCTGATCCTGGCTGCTGAGCAGATCCAGTCTGGTGATTACCTTCCCGGACCAGCTGACAGATGCTCTCTTCTTCTACAACCTCCCCAGGTGATGTTTACAGGGGGAGGATGTTACCCAGCAACCCTATGTGGTCATTATCTGGCACTATCCTATTCTGTTCTTCCCTCCCTCTTCCCCCCACCCTGAAGAAAAGTTATCTAAGTGAGGCCTCCTCTGGCCATGGTGCTGACTTTCTAGTGAGGTAAGTACACAAGGAGTCACCAAAAAATACAGGACACAATATCAGATTGCTTAAGGGGCAGGCAAGCAGATTTGCCATCCCTATTTAAATTACTCCTTTCTCTGTCTTGTTCCTTTTTTCTTAAATAACAACAAAAGTGAGCAGCAACAAAAAAAACCACACACACACACACACACACACACACACACACACAAAGCAGGCAAAGTGTATTCTTTTAGAGACAGGGAACTAACAAAACAACTAAAGAAAGAAATGCTTGAAAGTTTGGGGTCAGGATGGGACAGGGGATGAAAGCTTTTCATTATAATTATATCCTCTTTTGAACTTTTTTTAAAGCCAAGGCGTGCATTGATTGAAACTAGAAAGACCTAGGAGTCATGCATTTGTGTGTGTGCATCATACAAACTACTCTGTGTGATACCATGGGATACATGTCATTATACCTTTGTCTGAACCCATAGAATGTACCTCCTCAGGAGTGAACTGTAAGGTAGACTATGGACTCCGGGTGAGGGTGAGTGTCAGTGTAGGGTCATCAACTGCAACAAAGTCACCACTGTGATGGGGGATGTCGGTAAGGAAGGAGACTATGCACATGCTGGGGCAGGAAGTATATGGGAAATCTCTGTACCTTCTTTTCATTTTTTCTGTGAACTTAAAACTGCTCTAAAAAAATACAATCTTAATGGAAAATAAAAAAACCCCAATGCCCAGGCTGCACCTTGACCATAAAACTGGAATTTCCAGAGATGGGGATCCCCAGATAATTCCAGTGTGCAGCCAAGTATGAGGACCACAGCAGAGACGAAGACTGCTTGCAAAATGACTCTTTTCCCAAATAGCACACAGCTGGGAGGAACTAGCCTTTCACTGGTATAGACAATCTTAGAGCTGGCAGGTACACCTGTGTGTGTATGCATGCATAT